GAACGAGCAGAAGATACTGGGAAAAAAGTGGCCGGCCCAATGCAAGAAAGGGTGGAGCGGCTTTATCAGTGCAACAGGGAAGAAAGCCTTGAAAACGCCAGCAGCTGAATGCTTGGAGGAAAACACAAACGACAACAGTAGGAATATACAGGGTTGGAAGGTCAGATATCAGCAAATCATGATGACCTCAGCAGAACAACGAGCGCCGCACGTATGAAGGGCATACCTAGGTACCAAGATACCAGAACTCTACAAGTCCTAAAAGTTGTTTATCAGATGACGGATCACCGCACGTACATCCCGAGGTAGGCGGCGAGGCCACAGGCATGCCTGAGCAGGTGGGGGGACCTGAGGCCGCAACCGCTATCGAATTTTCACACGGGCAAGCGGGCGGTTGCAGAGAAATGGAGTGACGCAGGATTACCTAAGAGCTGAGTCTTGGAGCCCGCTTGAACCCAGACCTAAGGCCACGGTACACGTGAGCAGCCTGAGGCAGGATTTCCAAGCACACACCTAGCCACTTGCAGGTGAACGCCGAGCACCGGCAAATTCTGCTTGTCTCTAGCGCGATTTGTTGGCCTGTGATGCTTAGGTGGGAGGTGAGGTTGTCTGCCTACCACCGCTACCACTACTTCCACTGCCTGGCATACATCACCTCGCGACCCCATTACAACATGGCCATCAGGTACACTGGCCCTACACTTGGCTTGTCACGATGTAATCCACATGCTGACCGTGGACAAGATACATGATCCTGCTCTCGAGGCAAGGTAAAGTTGTATGCCCATAGCCCTCATACCCATTCCGTCCTGGGAGCCACGGCTAAATGGTTTCCAACAGCGTCTGGCCAAATGGTTCACCACCCTGTCGCCTAGAGAGAAAGGCAAGATCATCAAGGACGTTTCGCAGCTCGTCCTTGCCCGCCGCACCCGCATGTGCAATTTTCTAGAGTACAAGGGTGAGTCGTGATCACACATCTTCGCCGATGGGGAAGCGAAGCAAAGCAAAGCAAAGCAAAGCAAAGCAAAGCAAAGCAAAGCAAAGCATTGCTGGCACTTTCCCTTGCGAAAGTCGCGGCAACTCCCCCCTGCCTCTTCGTATGGCGTTCTCGCCTGCTTACGCAACCGACGTAGACACCAAGGTCATCTACCGCCGCTACGCCAGCCTGTTCTTCATTGCTGCCACCGATCCAACGGACAACGAGTTGATCACCCTCGAGATCGTGCACCGCTACGTCGAGCAGATGGACAAGTACTACGGCAACGTGTGCGAGCTGGACATCATTTTCAACTTCCAGAAGGCCTACTTCATCCTTGACGAGCTACTGCTTGCTGGCGAGATGCAGGAGAGCAGCAAGAAGAACGTGTTGCGAGTCATCGGTGCACAGGACAGCCTAGAGGACATGGAGGTGAGTTCTGATTCCTGATACATCCTCTTTCTTGAGCACTGCTCTCCCAACAAAGTGATGACCCTTGTATCCTGTACCACCACCCGCTGACATGCCTCCTTCTGCACCAACAGACCGAGGACGATGCTGTCACAAGGATCGGCTGATTACCTCCATGAAAACCTCTTTCCATAATAGAAGAAGCACTATCACACGAGGCCCGCTTCCCAAAGGTCATCATGTTTGTTAACCAAAGTATCCCACTCACAGGCCAGTGATGACATCGAAAGGTCATTGAAAGCATCAGGCATGCTATGAGCGACTGGCGATCGCTGCCTGGTGTCACGCATATGAAAGGTGCTTGCGGACGATATGCCGCCACCAAGGAAAACACCGCAGCATGGATGACAACGTCAGATGGCATTTTCAGGCGCCATGGGAAGAGGGTGTGAAGGTGTTTGATTGATTGCTTGCTTTTGGGATAATGATCTTTGAAAAGATACCCGCCGTGAGGCACGCTTGAGGGGCTGTTGTTTTTGAAGCCTTGCATCACACACAATGAAGATGCAATCTGTGAAGTACGAGTGCTCTAGCCGACAGGCAGAGGCAGAGGCCTATTGCGCCTAACGCTCTTGTCAATTTGAGAATGATGATGAACTTTCACAAGTGTGCCTTAGCTTCGAGTTTCCTGCCTGTTGTTTTTGAAGGCATGATTTTCTGCGTGCTTCCTCTACTCTCTCATATGGAAGTCAGAGTGTGGCACGATTGACCTTGCTTGATCCTTCAGGCGAGCAACTGCCACGCCCTTCAGCTCTTTGGACTGGGAGCTAGCATACTGATAGAGCGAGATGGTTATGCTGTTATCCCGCACGCCATGGGTCGACATCAGTCTTCAGAGGACGTTGGCTATACGCAAGTGCATTCTTGGTAGGCATCGTCGACGACTATCGATCGGGCCAAGCTTACAAAACAGTGATGACAACTGAGACTGTTCCTGCCGATGGTTTCTAACCACTTGATCGGCACAGGTCGGACCGTCCAGCTTGCCGGTGTAGCAGATGTCAGATACGATCATATGACAGTTTACCGAGGACAGAATGGGGGCGTGGCCCATACAACCAAAACCACTTGCTGAAAAGACAGAGGGAACTGATTGTTGGACTCCAGCTGCGGCACTCCACCACAGTCTCGTGGTACTCAACCCCGCATGCCATTGGCCGCTGCGAGCGCTCAAAGAAGCCCTGGAGAGGGGCCAGGTTCCCGGCGCATGGCACGGCATGAGCATCTGCGAACGACGCTCGCTTTAGCCCGATTCCGCCAACTCCCCGCCAAGCCTCAGTCATCATCACCTCTCCGCTGCTCCTGCCTGTTCGCATCCAGAGCGACCACCGCGCCTTCCCTCTCCACGACCTTGACACGACAACAACAAGCAGGCAACAGCGCGCCCACCATAACAACTCCATCACCTAGACAACAACCAGTCCAACACATAATGCGCGCCTGCTAGACACGTTCTCGCTTCGCGCGCGAACGAACCGACACGTCTAGCACTACAACGAGCCTTGTTCCAGGATCTTGACGCGAGCGCGTACTGATCATACTCTTTGTGATCGATTCGAAGACACCGTGATCAGTGAAAGGCGTGCGCCCATTTCGCCGCGCCGTTTCAGGACTGCCAGAGCAACAGCTCAGCAACGGAGCGGTGTCTTACAACAAGCAAGAGCACCGAAAGCACAAAACCATCACTCTCAACTGTAGATCGATCGCTGATTGCGATCCAAGCCGTCAAGATGAAGGTGCGTCGTATGCCAGAACATAAGCTAGGGCCTGCAAAGTGTTCCCTTCAGAGCGCAACTTGTGTGCACCTTGGTTAAACAACAAGGCCTCAGCGCGAGACTGGGATCTCTCTGCTTCTACACAAGCAGGGGTAGCCGCATCGCTCGAGTCGTCCAAGAAGCAGTCTTCAGAAGCTGACATAGCTGCAGTACCTCCCAATACGTGACATGGAGACGATCACCAACGCCATGAACTTCTCCACCCAAGATCTCCATGTTGTCGGTGGTTGCGACATTTACACCACTAAAGCTGCAGGTGGTGACAAGAAGCTGTACAAGTATATTGACAAGAACCTCGAGGACCAGTACGAATCCCTTGTGCGCCTTTCGAAGAGCCTAAGCCCGCCCGCCGTACCTGCCGTGCCCGCCTTGTCTACCGATGCCAGAGATGACGGAGACGACGGACTGAATCTTGTCACATCACCCATAAGATATACTAACAGGAATAAGGCCAATCGTACTCGTGACGCTCAGTCTCCCAGCATCGATCTCAGCCGCGCAAGTCCTTTCGGCCCTCTTGACGACGTCAGCGCTCGCCGCACATTTGCATATCTGGTGGCCACGCTCAACGCCAACTACGAAGATTACGACTTCTCTCTAGTCGCACAGCCACTTGATTTCCGCAGGGAGCGCAACCTGACTCATCTGAAGCAATTCATTGACAACCAGCTCGCCACCCTTCGACCTAAGGCAACTCCAATGTCATCGCTTCTGGCCCCGCCTGCCTACGCTGCATCTGCTCCCTCGTATAACACGCAAGGGAACGTGCTGTGGAGTCCGATGATGTGGGACCTCATCGATCGTGAGATGGACCTTAAGAGGTGCGAGAGGTACTCATATCAGCCAGAGACGGACCCTCTTGGCCCCGAAGGCGCCATCTGGAACATGCACTACTTCTTTTTCAACAAGAAGAACAAGCGTGTCTGCTACTTTCGCCTACGCGTCTTTAGCCTCATGTCGCACTCGCCCATCATGAGTGCCCCGATCTACAGCATGCACAAGTCCAAGTCACAGCGTTACGATAGCAGCGTGAGCTACATTGGCGACGGCGCAGGAAAGCGTGCGAACTACTGGCTGGGCACCCGCTCTTCCACCGCTGATTACGACGCTTACGACGACGATGTGGAAGACGATGAGATGGTCATGGACGAATCCGCTGATGAAGAAGACGAGGTCGACATCGACGGCAATGATGATATTGAAGCTGCTCGCCTTCGCATCGCTCAAGGTGATTGTTCCGAGTATGACGACTCATACGGCGCCGCCACCACCACCTACGACGACAACGCATACATGGACTTCGAGGACTGGTCCGCCAAGCCCCGTGGTGTCAGCGAGGAGGTGGAGGAGCAGATGGACCTGTAGATATGGCATGACGACTAATACCCTTCTCTTCACGACGGCGTTACGGGGATGTACTGGGGAAGCATTCAAGGGTGTCTGGCCGGTCGGAGAGAAAGCGTTTGCATATTACGATGGAGTTCTGGTCGTTTTTATCTGTGATCTTTTAGTTCTTCACAGAATGTAAATCTGGCTTCTGTGGCTACGTATATGGCCGCCCTTCTCCTCAACCAACCTTTCTCCACCCTTTCCACCATATTGCTTTCTACTACCAAGCGAGTCTCAATTGAGGATGTGACTCAAGGTCTGTCTCAACTATCTCCAATCGTGGCACCAAGCAACGCACTCAGCTTTGTTCGTAAAACACCACATCGATAAAATTTGTAGACGTCACACAGTGGATGTCACGTGGTCTTATGATTTTGTGGACCCAACAAGCTGGTGTGGCCGAGTGGTCTAAGGCGGTAGATTTAAGCAAATGCGAAAACTCTACTGGAGAGATCCGCGCGAGTTCGAACCTCGTCGCCAGCATAACATTTTTGCTTTTTGGCTGCTCGTCTTCGATAGGCTCAATCGGTTACATGTTGTAGGGAGGCGGCTGCTTTGACGATATTCATGTCTTTTGACGATATGCATACTAAATGTATGCTTGACGCTATGCTGACAGGTTTGTTTCCGGTTGCGCAAATTCATGTCTCCTGGCACGTGCCTTCGCTTGTTGATACACTCAATAGGAAGCAAATGGTTCCATCCATACTGGGTGAGAGTGTATTGAAGGATATTTATCAAGATGCTTAGATCACGTCTTTCGACAATGTCACGACTCATTGGGGAATCGCCGCCATTTTCGCTTCTGAGTGTTTACAATAGCCTTCGTAAAGAGCATGTTAGACAATAGCTTGTATTGCTCAGTATCACTCCTACCAAGTACGCTTGCCTCACATGATGCTACAGATCTAGATTTCTTTCGACGCTCTAACATCACGATATAAGTCCTGGCGTTGGCTGAAGAGATCTCACATGAGCTGAAGATCGGAACTAATGACAATTTCCAAACTTCGATAAGCCGTGAGGTTGAACGCAATTAGGTCGAATGAGCCACGCAAACTCATTGACTATAGTTGTTGGAGATACATATCCACTGCTTTTCTCTTTGCATACAATAATCCTTGGGCTTCGCAGAAAGTGTTTGGTATGGCTGATTTTGTGTGGACAGTGCTGTTCAGTAAGCAAAAGGACGCCAAACACACGAGTCTCACATAATGCATTGAAGTCGTTCGTACAGGAATACGGGGTAGGTTTATTTGTGCGATTCTGCGGCGAAATGCTGTTGAGCCGTATGCAGATACGCTCTCATTTCGATATCTAACGCTTTGTCACGTTCGACATCCAGAGTCATTGAAGCAGGCATGATGCTCACATCTGCCTGGGCGAGGATACCCTCCCTTTGTAGATAGCCACAAAATCCATCTAGCCTCAGTCTTGGTTTTGGCCGCGGCCGCAGCGAGTTCGGTGGCGCTGGTGGTGGCCTACTGCACGAGGAAGCATGTGTACTGCACCGACTTGACTGTCTAGGATCTCCACATCTACCAACAATCAGTTTCAGCCACGTATCACAAAAATGCAATTGTTGTGACAAAGGATAGAATTAGAGTAGCTAAATCTCACAAACGATCGTAGACTCAATTCGAAGTTGTCTCGTGCTACTATAGTGTTGTGGTGATTAAGTGTGATTGCATCCCTCCATAGATAATCTGGCCAGTTGATGCTAGACTCCGAGGTGAGGATAGGTCCTGGCGGTGCTGGTCGGAGTATCCGAACGCAAGTGGTCATAAATGGTTTGAATGTGTACAGGCGGAGGCTGGTAGTGAAAATCTACAATGTCGCAAACGATCGCGTTGTTGTGAAGGATTTTGAAGCAAAGATCGCACGGCGTCTATTGACAGTCCTACCCTGAATTACAAACATCCAAGAAATGATTCTATTCAGAACCATTCATTAAGTGCGTTTACAGCCAGAGCACGACTTGTGGTCTGCAGCCGTATGTTAAATCGCCAATTTCTGATCGTGCAGAACAAACAATAATCGCTTCTTCTCCAGCGATTACAGTGCTAACGACAAGGTTATCGTATCTCAAAGAAGCCTAACTGCGTTGTCGCCGTGAGAACGAGTGGTATTCCGGCTAGATATGTTTCCTTGTAGGCAACCAGTATATATCGAGTCTATGCTCCCACCAGGCTATTCGTTGTTGGCACCTGGCTTCCATCTCCCAAATGTCTTCCACTCATCATAAACACTGCGCAAGATGCCTCGCTGATTGTTATTCATAGCCGCAGAAAGACTTTCCATGCCGTTATCCCCACTTGTAGAGATTGCTTCGATCATTGCCCATAAGCCAGGTGTTAACGCTTTCCTGATCTCCTCATTCGGCGGGTGCTTCAAGACCTCAGTACAATAATGGTGAAGAACATAGCGTACAAACTCGCCGACATGCGCTTTGGCTTTACCAGCCTCGTCGGATAGACCGGTAGCTATTACCTTGGATTGCTTGCGCTGACGAGGGTTGCAGAAGAATTTGACTGACTGAGCGACTGCAGTGGCTTGCTGTACCTTCAGCTCAGATATTGCTCTGTCCGAAACATCCATCACTATGCTCAAAGGCCTTAGTAATGCTGTAAGTAACTCTTGCAAAAAAGGTGTGACCAGGTGAAATCTTCCTTGTAACCTGTGCTCATGCTTCTGAAGCAGCGTTGTAAATACCTTGCAGGCGTCCAAAATGACGAAGTGAATAGTGGAGCTGTGTGCTCGCTTGAGGTTGTTGCAGTAGGCTGCTACAGTTGCTTCAACACCATGCTGATTCACCATGAAGCGAGCATTTTGTAAAAGGCTTAACACGCAATCAGTGGCATGTCTGTATTGTGTGAAACCTGACATAGTATCTGCAAGGCCTAGAATGCGTACGAACAAATCGTACCGCTTGCGTTCAGGATCCAGCTCTTCCACAGACCGAACGTCGAATGTAGAGAGTGTTTCAAGAAGCAGAGGGAGCGCACTGGAAGGCTGTGCAGAAGCCAAGCTCGAGAGTTGTTCAATGGCCCACATCTTCTCTCCTTTGTCGAAGTGATCGAAATGAGATCTAAAGGCTTGCAGGATAGCCTGCCGCTCAATAGGAGCTGGTGCTTGTTGTAGTGCCTCTTGTGCTTTCAAATGATCTTCGCTTCGAGAAGCCCATGCTTTCTGATGGGTTGGCCCCTGCTGCTCCTCCTCGCAACGAGCAATCATGTTCTTTTGTTCCTTTCCGATTAACGAAGGAGGTAATCTTGCGATAACGTAACTTGCCGTCTGCTTTTGTCGCTCGCTGCCGTTTTGCAGTTGAGCGATGAGACGACTTACTATTTGCGTAGAGTCTTCAGCTGAAGTGCCGGCGAGTACTTCTAGCCATGAAGTTTCGTGGTTAATGTCTAATGTGTGTGTGGTTGACTTTGAGCCGAGCACGAAAGCAGGTATTGATTTTGAGACAATGTTTAGGCGTTCAGTATTCTCGAGCTTCTGAATTACGTCCTCATAGAACTGCGTACAGTCAGGATATGGTCGGAAGGCCAGGCATACTGTGATGAGAAATGCTAGAGCATCTTCGTCGATTTCTGATGCCTTCCACAATTTCTTCATACCCAGGATTGAGGTACCCATCTCTGTGAGCTTAGACAAATTGTCGGTTTGACCTGCTGTCCACAATGGAAACCAAAGCTCGAAAGCGGCTTTTGCGAGGTGCCAAAGTTGCATCTCGACAGCTTTAGATTTAGACTTGACTAAATCCAAGCATAGAGTGAGAACAACGCCGCATTGTTGATACACTTGCGTCCAAATCTCATCATCAAAGCGCGTGTTCATTAGGTTGCAGAGAAGTGCAATCCCAGCCCGGATCTCATGCACTGGTGAAGTGGGTTTGAGCCAAGCTGCGTAGCGGTCGATCCGCGCGACTATTAGATCTGCAGGAAGTTCATCACGAACACTATCAAAGGAGAGGCGAGTCCACGGAGTAAGAGGATGGCGTTTGGCCTGACTCTCCAAATGCGAGAAGTAGTCCTCGAGTCTATGATATGTTGCAAAGCATTGCAATACTGGCGTGGCAACATCGTGGATTTGTGGCGCTAAGGCTTCCCTTCCCGTCAGGCTTGCTGGCAGTTTTTCGAACATAGCGGAGGCAAATGGTTCCTCTAGAAAAAGCGAAGGGTCTAATCGCACTAGAAGCGCAATGATGTCCCATTGAATTTCACACGGGTCGCTCTCAAGAAGCACTGTAAAGTCAGTCACGACGTCGGACAGGACATCCCTGGAAAGCGAATAATTGCAAGCTAGAACAACGTCTAGTAGTTTGCATACAAGGTTTGCCTGTTCCTCCGCTGGGCAGGAGCTTGAGATTAAGGTCGTAATGGACCGAAATACTGCCTCTACCCAACGCGACTCATCTCTGCGCTGCTTGGGCGTGATTACAGGTGTAAGGTTTGCGGCAACATCGAGCAGCTGAGGCAGAATCTGGAGATCCGCAGGGCTGTCTCGAAACGCTTGCAGCTTTATACGAAACTGATCTGTACCCTGCTCGGCAAAGAACGAGGTTCTAGAGGGAAGCAAGACATGCTTAGCCAGCAGTCTGCGAATGTCCACAAGACCATCTGTAGTTGGAATCTTGCTGTCCTTACGGCGCTTTGTTAAGTTGCTGAAGTCTGCAGAGCTGCGAAACAGCAGCTTTGCAGCCCATAGAAGGCAGCGCGTAGAAAAGGCTTCATCGTCATTCAATCCAGGCTTGCGCAGCCCCCATATTTCAAGAGCTGGCGAAGGATTGAGGGAGGCAGCACTAGACACGCAAGCCTCGAGCCAAGCACCAACAAATGCAGCTGCCTTGTCGCTGGAACTGCGCAAAACCGCTCTCAGATGTGCACCTTGAACACTATGGGAGATTGCCAGCATCACTCGAATTGCCTCATCAATTTGGCTCAAGATTTGCGCCGAGTTATGGCATTGACATTCAAGAGCTGCCTTCCAGAATAGGTCGACGATGTCATGTGAGCCTAGATGAACTGCAGCTCTTTGTGGTGGCACGAGGCGCAGGGTCGAAGTGAACAACGTCCAAGTTTCAGCAGAGGCCAAACAATTCTGGTCGATTTCCATCTTCTCGAGCAGCCATCTTAGGATCATGGAAGCGCGTTCTGCTGTGGTACATAATGCTCCTGCCGTACGGAGTTGGTCCTTGATATCAGGTAAGGAATCCAGGTGCTTCAAACGATCTAATGAGCGCTCCTGAGCGCACTCTCCGTCAATCGTGGCCATCTTCCGTCCCCTTTACCTTAGTTAGGTCTAAATCGCTAGAGACGATTAGAGAACTGCCAATTGAGTCCAACTTGCGGATTGAAAATATTCAATGTGGTCAAAGCTTCGGGGGTTTGCTGCCAGCAGCCAGCTGCGGCCAGTTCCGTCCGACGCTCGGGAACGCCAGGAACAAACAGAAGCAGCGGCAGCTTGTTGAAGCTCCT